TTTAGAGAATAACCGGCTGTTATTTCTTTAGGGTGTTGCCCTTAAAAATATGCCGCTCAAAGAGAGAGGGTCTGCCTTCCGCTATGGAGATCCCGTGGGGATATTTATACACAGATATGGAATCTATACATGGTAAGTAGGGTTGACGTCTAGCCAAGGTGAAAGATAGGTAGGGCTGACGTAAGGGCTGGTACAGCCGTCAATATACTACCTTTCCTGTCTAGGCGAATTATGGAAACTACCTAACTGAGCAAAGATTGCGTTCGGAAAATCCGCTGGTACGCGTTTTGGGGCGTGTACCCAGCTAGGAGTTGTCCCGGCCGCACGGGGATGACTTCTTTGTCTTCTACCTCTGAGTGGTGGCCTTCCTCCTGGCAAGCCTGGTCGCCCGTCTGGGCCCTGGGGTGTTGTGCGGCTGAGGACGCTCCGCCCGCGTGACCTGGTCGCCCGTCCCAACCTCGTAAGGCACATGATCAGGGACACACCGATCATCGTCGCTGGTCGCCCATCGACATTGCCTTCAAGGACTCGCTTGTAGACGCACCGGCTGGTATGCTGGCTACTGATAAGTGCATAGTGGACTCTGGGGGCGTCTGGTATCATGACCGGGAGGTTCCTAGCGGTTTCCTCTTTCTCTCCTGGTTAGCTATCGGTTCGGCTCCCTTATCTGGCCTCCCGCCTAGGCGGCTAATTTGGGGTATCTATCACCAGTCCCTCACTTTTTTAGGTTTTAGCTGAGCCGTTAACCTGAAAAAGTAAATAACAGAAAGCACAAGTTCCCCAAAAATGTCTTGGTTGCCTGGCTTCTTAGTCTGTCTGGATTTTGTCGAACGCCCAGGAGAGTCCCTGGCTGGTCTCGCTGTTCCTGACTGGTCCCGTTTTTCCCGACTAGTTCTGGGAGCGGTACAGTCGCGATAGGCGTAATGATGGCAATTCCGTTGATTCCACCAGAACGTGCCTTCTCGCAGTCGTCATCTCAAGTGTCATGTCAATGATCATGTCTATCCGGCTAGGACCAGGTGTCACGCTCTAGCCGCCTCTCCGTCCTTATAAATACCCTCGATCTCCCTTGCGTTCCTCATTCTCACGCTTTCTTTTCTCCAGCTTGTCCCTTGGCAGCCGGTATCCTTCGCTCTCTCCGTGTTAGGGTGCCATCCCCTCTTGCGAGGGGACTGCCCGCACACCCCCGATGATCCTCAAAAACTGCCGAGTCCACCAGTAAGCGAGGTTGGCTGCCTACGAGTCCCATCCTTTTGGCTGTTGTAGTACGACCACCGCCCGCCAAGATGCGGTCTCATATGCTAGTGTATAATCTGAGGGGCACTCCTCTAACGGAGCAAGCGCCGGCCTAAGAGGGGGTACTCCTCCTTTTGTAGAAGATCAACTGTCTCTCCACAACAATAGGGTAGACCGGAGAGTATACCGGACTCTGGCAACCCCTCTGCCGTTATCCGTCAAGGAGGGGGTGGATGTACACCAAGCTTTCATCCGATCGTGCAAGCTTATAGAAAGATGTGAACAAGATGTGTGTCTTTGCCATATTTCTCATACTGAAGCCCGAGCTCATTAGGAAGATGCTCCCGTCGGACTAGCTGGGAGGGTGAACTTGGAATAGACTAGTTGTTCATCTCTCGCGGGGAGGAGGTGATCTTCTTTGTGGCGTAGCCGCCTTCGCCTAAGCAGGCGGTATCAGCCATCCTCGCAGAGAGGAGGTGATCTTCCTCGCGGCGTGGCCGCCTTCGCCTGAGCAGGTGGTATCGGCCATCCTCACGGAGAGGAGGTGATATTCCTCGCGGGGTGGCCGCCTTCGCCTGAGCAGGCGGTATCAGCCATCCTCGCGGAGGCGTGGCTGCCTTTGCTTGAGCAGGCAATATCAGCTATCCTCGCAGAGAGGAGGTTTTCTTGTGGCGTGGTCGCCTTCGCCTAAGCAGGCGGTATGAGCCATCCTCGCGGGGAGGATGTGATCTTCTCGCGGCGTGGCCGTCTTCACCTAAGCAGGCTGTATCAGCCATCTTCGCAGAGAGGAGGTGATCTTCTTCGCGGCATTGTGACACCCCGTGTTACGGCCTTTAATCCCGGACTAATCATTTAATCAATCTCGTTAATAATAATAATTAAAAAGGGCTTAAAACTGGTTAGGATTCCCTTCAATTAATTAGTGTGGTCCACAATGGACCATGGACTCTTATCTTTAAACCAAATCCTTAATCCTATAAGAGATAGGATAAGTGGACCCTTACTATTCAGACCCTTGTTGGGACTCCTAAATCTATATATAGGGACTTAGGAAGCATTTAGAAACCCTACCACATTTAATTATAGCACATGAGATATTCCCAGAGAGAAACATACGTAAGAATCCCCTTGCCACCAAACGTAGGAGGATCCACGGGAAGAATATCTTAGAGAAGAACCTTAGTAGCCAATGATATTGATTAGGGTTAAGAGGTAACCGATGTCTCGACAAAACCTATTTTCCTTGCTATATCTTATCCATTGGCTCCTTTGATATATGATTCTGTGTTTGAGTCTTGATAGAGCTTTGCCTAGGGATTATATTGTGTTTATGTTATAATCTTGATGTTTATGTGATAATCTTGATGTTCTTGATACTATGATTGATTATATGAATGGTCTTGTATTTTGATTATGTCTAGAGCCCTAGGTTTATATCGTGAATCTTGCATTATGATGTTCTTGGTATATTTGGGTGAGATTATGCATGATCGTGTGTTGAGTCTAGCCTAGGACTTGTGTTTAGGACTTTGCATATAGGTTTCTCGATGTTCTTGTGATTCCGGATGCTCCCAAACCGTTATTTGATTAATGTAGAGTCTTGGTCTATTTAGGAAATCGTGTTAGAACGTATTTGGTGTAATTCTTGGTTTGATCCCGTTAATTGAATACGTGGTGTTGTCGTTATGTGTTTGAATGTGTCTGGACAAGGTTTCGGGTTCCACGAGTGATCCTGGGACCCAAAAGTTGCTTGTGAGTCAATGGGGGGTAGGTGGGGGTAGGGGTGCTTGCCACCTATCCGCTGGAAAAGAGAGCCGCCGCCGGCTGGTGGTCCTCCACCGGCCGCCCACCCGCTGGAAAATTGGTGGGTGTCGTGTTGTTTTCACCCGTTTGTTGTTTCCCCATATCCCGTTGTGTCCCGTTGTATCCCGTTTGTCGTGTATGAGTCTTGTTTAGTATTTTGGGTATCGTTCTAGGGATTTATGTGTAACACGTGTCGTTGGTGTTATGTCTTGATTGTTATTTGATTGGATGATGATGAGTATCGTGGTCATTGCGCAATGGCCAGTGTGACTGATGATGATGATGATGATGAGATTGTGATTGGTGGAAAAGAATTGTTGGCGGTTGGCACCACTTGTTCCCGGTCATTGTACTAAAGGTACATGCCATAGCGATGACTGTGCTAAAGGCACACACCCACCTTAGACTTGCTTGCCGTTGAGCATGAGTCAGGTTATAAGTGCTGCGGTGTCATGTTAGAGCTATATGCGCTAACCCCTTGATAGTGGCACTAGAGGTGTAGATCATTGAATGGCACTGCGGCACCATCTTGATATGTTGGTGGTTGAAAGGTGGTTTGTCAGTGGGAGCATGTAGTTGCCCGGAGGCATAAGAGGTGGTGATATAAGAGTGGCCTGGAAGTATAGGTTGGAACTATATAAGGACGGAGGGGAGCTACAAGGTTGGAACTTGGTATAAGTTTGGAGGATGAATTGTGTGCTTGATGACTACTTGCTAATTGATTGTATTGAATGCCTGAGTTACCTCTACTTATTACTTGTATGCTTATCTGCCTGTCATATCTTATATTGCATGCTTAGGGTACCTGTTAGTTCTTATGATTATCCTATGATATTAACTCTTTTGATATGCCTTGAGTCGTAATCTTGGATTTAAACTAGAGTTTCGTAAGTATATATGTATTCCAGTTTCAAAATGAGTTTCTTATGTCTACCTATATTGTACTTACGCGTTGGAGTGGGTTACCAGCATTATTCGCTGACGGTTGTTACACCGAATGTTTTTCAGGTAATGAGCATTAGCTTCGAAGCGCGCTAGTCAGAGCCTTGGACTTAGATTAATTATCCTTAGCTCAGTAGTTGGCCTGCGTGCCTTGGGATTGTATTTGAATATTGAATTAAGACTTTATGATGCTTAGTTAACTTAGCATGTGCACCTAGGTTCTCAAATCTAGGTGTGGCATAACACTCCGACACTTATGGTTAGCTCTATGCCCTGTTTGGGATTCGATAAATGCATTTGCCTTTATTTTATAAGTTTTAAATATCTCAAAACTCAAGGGTGTTATAGGCGTGGCCGCTTTCGCCTAAGCAGGCGGTATCAGCCATCCTCGCAGGGAGGAGGTGATCTTCCTCGCGGCATGGCCGCCTTCGCCTAAGCAGGCAGTATCAGCCATCCTTGTGGGAGGAGGTGATCAGGTCTAGAGAAGAATCCCGTTGTCGAAATAATTGAACTTCATTATTAACCAACTGGCGGGTAATTCTCACGAACTAATGGTATCTAGGCACCTACAACGAACTAATCGAAAACAAAACTAGGAAAAAAGATGGTGACCGATCGATCGGTTACTGGTAGAATTTCTTGAGGTGATGAGTGTTCCAAATTCCTTCCATGGGCTCGCCCTCCGTGGTCTCTAACCGGTAGGTGCCCGGGTAAACCTCACTCACAACCCGGTACGACCCTTCCCATTTAACCGCCATCTTTCCTCCTTTAGTGGGTCGGCTGGTCATGCTTTCCCTTAGCACGAAATCTCCTATCTAGAGGTATCTGACTTTGGCTCTTTTTTCTTGATAGCACTTGACGGCCTGTTGGTACTCGACCATTCGAGCATAAGTCACATCCCGTCTCTCCTCCCAGAGATTCATTTCTTTTCGAAACATTTCCTCGTTGCCGTCTTCATTGTACAACAAGACTCGTCGACTGGGCACCAAGAGTTCGGTCGGAACCTTCGCCTCGAACCCTTACGCCAAGGCAAATGGAGTTTCAGCCGTTGCCTGGAGCGGGGTAGTCCGGTAGACCCACAGTACTTTTTCCAATTGTTCGACCCATGTGCCACCCAGCTCTTCCAGTTTCTTTCGCAGCCCGTCTAGAAGGGCACGATTCAGATTTTTGATCTGGCCATTGGCATGAGGGTAGGCCAAAGATACCTTGATGTGCCGGATGCCGTTCTGCACGCAGAAGGCTGCGAAGGCTCGGTTGTCGAATTGTCGTCTGTTGTCGGTTACTAATTGCTTGGGCAGTCCGGATCTGCATATGATGTTCTTCCAGACAAACCGGCGGCACTTATACTCGGTGATAGTCGCCAAAGGCTCCGCTTCGGCCCACTAAGTGAAATAATCCACGGCCGCTATATAGAAGTGCGTTCGTCCAGGCGCCTGAGGTAGCAGTCCTAACAGATTGATGCCCACTTGGCAAAGGGGATCGCGGTGGTGATCGGTGTATAGAAGTTTGCCGGTCGGGTGCTCTTTTTAGCGAACGATTGGCACACGGCGCATCATAACACTTCTTCAATGCAATCTTTTACCATGTTCGGCCAGTAATAGCCCTGAATGATAAGTTTTCTGGCCAAAGTATTGGCCCCCTGATGGGCCGCACAGATTCCCCGGTGAGCGGCAGCCATCACAGTCTTAGCCTCCTCGGGGGATAAGCAATGCAGTAGGGGACTTCCGTAAGACCACTTATAGAGCAGGCCGTCCACCAACTCATAGGAGGGAGCCCACCTCCTGATGCGATCATCGTCCTCCTTTTTATCCGGTAACTCTAATTTCTGTTTGTACCTGACCATGTCCGTAAACCATGGCCAAGCAGAGGAGTCCTCCGGTCTAGGCGGTGAAGTAGGTGCCCAGACAACTGTGCAAACCGAGAGCACCTCAGTATTGGGCCGTTCTATGATCTCGGTGCGACAAGTCATCGACAGGTAGGGAGGCACACTTCCCGCAGCCAGCTTGGACAAGATATCTGCCTTCGTATTTTCCGCTCGTGGGATGTGGGCGAACTCATAGGCTTCCAATTTATCCAGTTGTCCCTCAGCCACGTCCTTATAGAGTATCAGCCTTTCTTCTCTGGTCACACATTCATTTTTCAGCTGGTTAACCACTAGGCGGGAATCCGTCTTTATGCGCACCCGGGCGGCGTGAAGGGCGATGACTAATCGCAACCCTCCTATGGCCGCCTCATATTCTGCCTCGTTATTTGAAGTTTGGAAGTTGTACCTTAGGGCGTAGTACAAGCGGAATCCTTCGGGGGTGGTGATCATCACCCCGCCTCCACAATGTTTAGAGTCGGCCACGCAGTCAATGTGTATTTCCCACCATTCCGCTGCTTCCGGGCCTTCGACCAGCGAGCCCTCCGTCGGGTAAGTGGAACATTCCACTATGAAGTCGGCGAGAACCTGAGCTTTGATAGACGGTCGCGGGGCGTATTCGATCCCGTACTGGGTGAGCTCCATCGCCCACTTGAGCAATCGTCTGGACGAGGCCGGATTGCGTAGCATGCTGGCTAGGGGGGAGGTTGATCAACACCCGGACTGTATGAGCTTGGAAGTAAGGCACCAACTTCCTGACCACTGTGATGAGGGCGAAGTCTACCTTCTCGAGGGGGGAATAATTGATCTCTGCCCCCTTCAAAGTCCGCCCGACGTAATAGACCGGCAGTTGAGCCTTCTCCTCCTCCCGTACTAACACGGCTCTGACCACCTTATGGGAGGCGGCCAGGTATAACAGCAATGTTTCTCCCGCCTTGGGTTTAGATAAGAGTGGCGGAGTTAGGAGATACTTCTTCAAGTCCTCAAAGGCTGCCCGGCATTCTCCAGTCCACCGAAACCCGTCTTGCCTCTTCATGACTTCGAAGAAGGGGAGGGCCCTGTCGGCGGACTTAGACAAGAATCGGGTGAGGGCGGCCATTCAGCCTGTCAATCGCTGCATTTCTTTGAGGATGCTGGGCAGCCGCATATCCAAAATAGCCCGCACTTTCTCTGGGTTCGGCTCGATTCCACGCCATAGATCCGCCCATCAACCCTTTGAACAATCGGGCTACCATTCGGGTGTATGTGGCCCCAGCGTTCTTCAGACCGAAAGGCATTACCTTATAGCAGTACACCGTGATGAAGGCGGTCGTTTCTTCGTCTGATTTGTGCATAAATATCTGATGGTATCCACGGAACGCATCCATGAAGCTAAGCAGAGCGCATCCGGCCGTATCATCGTCCAACTGATCGATTCGGGGGAGAGGGAACGGATCTTTGGGGCATGCTTTGTTGAGATCGGTGTAGTCGACGCACATTCTCCACGCCGGCAGCTTGGGCACCAACACCACGTTGGCCAGCCAGCCGGGGTACTTGACCTCTCAGATGTGCCCCGCGGCTAATAATGCGTCCACTTCCTTCTTTACGAAGTCTCTGCGGTCATTTGATAAGTTTGTCTCCTTTTCTGAGCCACGGGCTTGAGGCTGGGGTCAACCGCCAACCTGTGGGTTATGATTGATCGGTCGACCTCTGACATGTCCTTGGGCCCCCATGCAAATAGTTCCTTGTACTCCTTCAGGACTGTTGTGATCGCTTGCTTTACGAGGGCAGGCAGGCCGGTCCCGATCCGGACTACCCTGTCATGACGTCCGTCCTCCAAGCTGACTTCCTCCAATTTGGCTGCCGGTGTTAGGCGCTCCACCAGTAGACCAGGCACTTGATGGTCAATGACGTTTACCCGGTCGCAATCCTGCCCGACCTTTCGGCACGCCTGCAAGTAGCAACTACGAGCCACTTTCTGATCACACCGCACTACTCCGACGCCAGTCGGGGTGCGGAACTTCATACACAGATGCTCGATGGAGATCAGTGCCTCCTTGTTGGCTATCCCTTGTTGGCTAAGGATGACGTTGTGCACGCATTCTAGAGCGACGACGATGAATTCCATTTCCATTTTCCTCACTTGAGGCCAAGTGCCTAGCTCAACGTTCCGGGAGATGCATCCCTCCACTTCGGCTACATCACCGGTGAACCCGGCCAAGGGGGTCCTGACTGGTCGCATCTGCTCCTAAGCTAACCCCAACTTCTGAAAGGCTTCCCAATATAACACGTTGACACTGCTGCCCGTGTCCACCAGCACCCGCCGGGTGATAGATCCTTGGATATCCATGGTGATGACTAGGGCGTCCCGGTGCGGTGCGAGACCTCTAGGTAGGTCGTCGTTCGAGAAGCTAATCGGTTCCCTGCATATCTTCTTCGGGTCTGGCCCCTTGAAGGCGATCACGCCCACATATAACTGCCAGGCGCGCGCTTTCCAGGCTCTTGCAGAGTCACCACCTTCATGGCCCCCCACTATCATGTTTATCACTAGCTTGTGCTTCCAATTCTGCTCCACGTCTTCATCTTTCCTAGGCTGCTTGCTCTTATCTCCAATTTTCGACCCACTCGGCTCGGTCGCTCCCCTTTGCCAGGCTGGTACTTGCCTACGCCATTGGTTGGGAAGCTGCGGCCAGCCACGCTTGATAAGCGCCTCAATTTCCTCTTTCAACCCCTTGCACTCTTCTATGGAATGATTGCTCGTGCGGTGGTATCGGCAATAGAGCGGGGGGTTGGTGCCAACTATCTGGGGCCTATCGCCCGAACAGACAGGCGGAGGGGGAGGCAACTGGGCGCAAACCTCGTGGACAGGCTGTGCCATCGGCTGGGGGGCCGGAGCTCCTAGTCGATCCCTGATTCGACGAGCTCTCACACGAGTAACGCCTTCCTCAGCTGCTTGCCCTTCGCGGGGGTTATCCGCCCGGGGTCTCTTTGAAGAGATCTCTTCTTTGCACTTCTGTCTTACTACTTCCTTGGTGTCGGCCAACAAATTGGTCCTTTGAATGGCCTCCACGTATGTCTTGGGATTCTCGTCTCGCAGCCGGCTATAGTGCCCGTATGCTCTTAGGGACTCAATGAAGAAAGTCAGGGCTGTCTGATCATCTAGGTCGTCTACCGCATGTGCCTCCTTCTGCGAGCGCGATGTACTTGCCCAAACTCTCCCCCTCGTCTTGATGTACCTGGGCTAGGTCAGAGACGAACTTCTTAGGCGTCATGTTCCCGGCAAAATGTGTCAGGAACTGGGTAGCCAACTCCTCAAAGGTATGGATGGACCTCGGGGGGAGCCTGGGAAACCACCTATGAGCTGGCCCAATAAGCGTTGGGAAGAACGCCCGACAAATCATCGGGGGTCGGCCCTAACCACCTGCATTTTGGCCTGAAAGCTGATGACGTGATCCCGCGGGTCTCCCGTGCCATCGTACGTCGGGTGTTCAGGCAGCTTAAACTCGGCTGGTGCCCTATAAGCTTGCACTTCAGCCGAGAAAGGCGAGGCGATTAGGAGGCTGCCCGCAGCCAGCCTGCTTCCCCCTTCAACCATCTATCGAAGCTCTTGAATGGCGACATATAGCCCAGCCATTTCGGGGTTATCCCGGCTGGGTGCCTTGGATGACTCCCCCATACCTTCTGCGGCTTCTTGCCTTTGTCGAGCAACTGCCTTTCTCTGGATGATGGCCCGCGGCTGCTCGCTGACCGACCGGTCAGGCGGTTGCTGCTCGCCGCGTCCCCCAAGGCGCTCCATGACCTACCACGCTGGGGCTACGGGTCCGAGCCTGGAGTGCACCGAGCGATTGGCCTGGTGATCAGCCGGCGGATTAACCCCTGAGTGTTCCGAACGCTTGGATACCCCTTGTTGAGCCTCCATAGGAGTCGACCGCTCGGGCTGTGGGATCTGTTCCTGCCCACGCACGTATGCTTCGAATGCCTGCCCCAACAACTCTGCGAAGTTGGGTTGAGCCTGAGCGACAGGTGGTGGCGGGTTTTCCCTAGACGGATCAGGGGTCGACGCAATAGTACACGCGGTACGTGCAGCCGACTGCCCCCCTGAGGCGTGGCGATTTAGCTGCTTCCTTAGGTCGCTGACGGATGCACGGTTGCCGGCGGGATGTTCAATCGGGTCTGCGATAATCGTCACATGCCCGTTAGCCGGCAGGGCAGCGAAGATGGGACCGGTGTTGCGATTGCTATGCCTCATTCGTGCCATCGATAAAGCTTGAGAACGAAACCTTTAGTTTCGATCCCCACCCACGGCGCCAATGTTGGTTTTCACAGCGTTGATGGTTGCCCTACAGGCCAACACTACCGGATAACTGTATCTGTGAGTGTAAAGAAAGCGAGAAAATAAAGATAATTTTAGAGAATAGCCGGCTGTTATTTCTTTAGGGTGTTGCCCTTAAAAATATGCCGCTCAAAGAGAGAGTGTGTGTCCTCCGCTATGGAGGTCCTGTGGGGATATTTATACACAGATATGGAATCTATATATGGTAAGTAGGGCTGACGTCTAGCCAGGGTGAAGGACAGGTGTGGCTGACGTAAGGGCTGGTACAGCCATCAATATACTACCTTTCCTGTCTAGGCGAATTATGGAAACTACCTAACTAAGCAAAGATTGCGTCTAGAAAATCCGCTGGTACGCGTTGTGGGGCGTGTACCCAGCCAGGAGTTGTCCCGGCCGAGTGGGGTTGGCTTCCTGGGCTTTTGCCTCTGATTGGTAGCCTGGTCGCCCGTCCGGGCCCTGGGTGTTGCGCGGCTGGGGACGCACCACCCGCATGACCTAGTCGCCCGTCCCAACCTCTTAAGGCACAAGATCAGGGACACACCGATCATCGTGGCTGGTTGCCCATCGGCATTGCCTTCAAGGACCCACTTGTAGACGCGTCGGCTGGTAGGCTGGCTGCTGATAAGTGCATAGTGGACTCTGGGGGCGTCTGGTATCATGACCGGGAGGTTCCTAGCGGTTTCCTCTTTCTCTCCTAGTTAGCTACCGGTTCGGCTCCCTTATGTGGCCTCCTGCCCAGGCGGCTAATTTAGGGTATATATCATACATCATTTAATGTTAACCCAGAAGGTCACATATGGGTGTTTGCACAAAAGAGAAATACAAACATTATGGTGGTATGATATAAAGCGAGACTGGTAGCTTAAGGGTTTACGTAGAGATTCTGAATTGATTTTGATCAAATCTTGTCTCCCACAACAAATGGGATTATTAAGTTCCGCAAATTAACATTTTTGGCAGTGAATTATGAATTTAGATATGCAGTTGATGAACGTCATGACCGCAAACTTATGGGTCACTAGATGCTAATATTTATTTGTAAATCCCTGATGGATCAACAGTTTTGAAATGAGGAAAGTTAAAATGGCAATGTGTATCATTAAACTACTAAAGTCTTTGTATGACTTGAATATTATTGACT